AGACTAGACTATAGACTAGACTATAGACTAGACTATAGACTAGACTATAGACTAGACTATAGACTAGACTATAGACTAGACTATAGACTAGACTATAGACTAGACTATAGACTAGACTATAGACTAGACTATAGACTAGACTATAGACTAGACTAGACTAGACTAGACTATAGACTAGGACTATAGACTAGACTATAGACTAGACTATAGGACTAGACTTATAGACTAGACTATAGACTAGACTATAGACTAGGACGATAGACTAGACTATAGACTAGACTATAGACTAGACTATAGACTAGACTATAGACCTAGACTATAGACTAGACTATAGACTAGACTATAGACTAGGACTATAGACTAGACTATAGACTAGACTATAGACTAGACTATAGACTAGACTATAGACTAGACTATAGACTAGACTATAGACTAGACTATAGACTAGACTATAGACTAGAGCTATAGACTAGACTATAGACTAGACTATAGACTAGACTATAGACTAGACTATAGACTAGACTATAGACTAGACTATAGACTAGACTATAGACTAGACTATAGGACTAGACTATAGACTAGACTATAGACTAGACTATAGACTAGACTATAGACTGACTAGACTAGTCTATAGTCTAGACCTAAAACATATTGCAGGCAGCTACAGATGTCCTGTTTTTAAGAAGGCGCTAAGTGCAGTATAAATGAAGCTAATTCAACTCAACATTAATCACTGTGCAGCAGCCCAGGATCTCCTCACACAGACTATCCTCGAATCTCAAATAGATGTTGCCATAATAAGCGAACAATATAAAGATTTAGAGAAAAATATATGGGAGAAAGATTCATCAGGAAGAGCCGCCGTATGGGCCTGTGGTAACAAGGCTATTGAAGAGGGGATGAAACATCAATCTGAAGGATACGCTAGGATTAAAATTTGCGGAATATACGTATATAGCTGCTACATGTCACCAAACTCTAGTCTTCAAGAGTTTGAAAATACAATTGAAAATCTAGTGCTAGATGCAAGCCAGCACAAGCCAACTATCATTGGAGGAGACTTCAACGCCTCAGCTGTAGACTGGGGTTGCCAAAGAACCAATAACAGAGGTCGTGTACTTCTGGAAGCGTTTTCAGCACTAGATGTCGTCCTGTTAAATAAAGGAAATGCACAAACCTTTAGGAGAGCGGGATACGGATCGATTGTTGACATTACCTTCGTCAGTAGCTCGCTAGCTAAGGATGTACAGTGGGAAGTGAGTGAGCACTATACCCACAGTGACCATCAGGCAATACTATTTACAGTAAACAAAGGAAATACTACTAATGTACCTCGAGAAAAAGCCATCTTTCGCGGTTGGGCAAGCGATAAACTTGACTCAGCAGTCTTTGTAGAAATGTTCTCCAACGAAACCATAGAAGAGGGGTCTTCCAACGACATGGCCGAGAGAGTAATTAATTCCCTAAAGACGGCATGCGACGCGTCAATGCCAAGAAGAAGACACTGTAACAGAAGAAAACAAAACTACTGGTGGAACGAGGACATAGCAAAGCTAAGAAAAGAATGTTTAAAATGCAGACGTATATACCAAAGGGGAAGATCGCGTCCCTTCTTCGAAAGAAAAAGGGAAGCATATCACCAGGCGAGAATTAACCTACAGAAAGCCATAAATAAGAGTAAATCAGACTCCTTTAAACAACTATGTAACGATGCTGACTCCAATCCCTGGGGCAATGCATATCGCATAGTTATGTCCCGATTGAAGGGGAAAAAATCAGCCCAAGTAACGTGCCCCACATTAATAAAAAAAATAGTAACTACGCTTTTTCCGCAGGGTGAACCATTTGTAGACATGTTACCATGCAGTAATATGTCAGAACCATTGCCAGTAACTGAGGACGAGATCCTAAAATTGTGCTGCAAAATCGGTGACAAAAAAGCACCAGGACTGGATAATATTCCAAACAAAGCACTGAAGATTGCATTAAAAACCACGCCACAGCTGTTTGTCTCATTATTTGATAAATGCCTGAGAGATGGAGTGTTTCCATCGCGATGGAAGAAGCAAAAGCTCATCCTGATACCCAAACCCGGGAAAACTTTAGGCGAACCTCAGTCTTATAGACCGATTTGCCTTCTGGATACATTAGGCAAGTGCTTGGAGAGGTTGATATATACCAGAATACTGAACGCTGTAGAGGAATCAATCGGCTTATCAAAGATGCAATACGGCTTCCGAAAAGAGAGGTCCACAGTGGACGCAATAAATTATGTTGTCAACATTGCAGAAAAGGCCATCAGAGGCAAAAGAAGTACAAGAAAATACTGCGCGATAATAACATTGGACATTAAGAATGCCTTTAACTCGGCTGAATGGTGTAATATAATAACCGCACTGCGCAAACTAAATATTCCGGAGTATCTCATAAAAATGGTTAAAGACTACTTTTCAGACAGAACCCTGTGGTACGAGACAGACAATGGTATTGAGTCCCAAAACATTTCTGCTGGCGTTCCGCAAGGATCGGTCCTAGGCCCGCTACTATGGAACATCATGTACGATGACCTATTCAGGCTCAGTGTTCCGGAAGAGGTAAAAATTGTAGGCTTTGCAGACGATGTCGCAGTAGTAGTCCAAGCTCGAAATCTGGAAGAAGTGCAGCTTTATGCAAACGAAGCAATTAGATCCATTAAGATTTGGCTGGAAAAATCAAACCTGAAACTAGCAGAACACAAAACAGAAGCTGTGCTAGTAAGCAGTAGGAGAGCGAAAGAAGTGTTAACGGTCCAAGTTGGAAGAAGTGAAATCGTGTCCACGGAAGCAATAAAATACCTGGGCGTGATAATCGATAATCGTTTAAACTTTAAAAGGCATATCGAATATTCATGCCTTAAGGCTACCAACGTCGTGAATGCACTGGCGAGATTGATGCCAAACATAGGAGGTCCGAGGCAAAGTCGAAGAATTCTTCTCTCGAGAGTGGCAAACTCTATACTGCTTTATGGCTCCCCCATCTGGGAGGGCTTCCTGAGATGTACTTCCAGAAAGGACATGATGTCCATCTTCCGCAGAGGATGCCTACGTATTTGCAGCGGATACCGCACTATATCTCTCGAGGCATCCTGTGTTATCGCGGGCATAGTCCCCTTAGACATTACCGCACAAGAATTTTCAAAAATATACGAAACTAAAAGACAAAATACAGAGGCGCAGCACAGAAACACTCGAAATGACGAAAGAAGATCCTCAATGGAAAAATGGCAAAGACGGTGGGAGAACTCTTCTGCAGGACGCTGGACTTACAAATTGATTCCAAAAATAGAGAAATGGGTAAACCGCAGGCATGGAGAAGTTAACTACAATTTAACGCAGTTTTTAAGTGGACATGGAGGCTATAGAAGCTACCTGCACCGTTTTGGTCACGATGACTCACCGGTGTGTCCAGTATGCCCAGGTGTTGATGAAAACATCGAACATGTCATATTTGTATGCCACAGATTTGAAGTAGAACGTACTAGGTTAGAAACCCAGCTGGGGCACAGATTAACTCCAGATAACACTGTGGATATCATGCTGACATCTGAGCTGCATTGGGACCGTATAAATTCCTTTATTACTTATGTAAACGAATCCCTAAGAAAAGAAGAACAGCTTCGGAAGCAAGTAAGAGCGGCACTGTCACAACGCCAGTAGAAATAAGTAGATCAGCGAAACAAGCTGGCCGCCCCGCGAAGTAATACCTACTGGCAGTTCCGCGGAGTGTGGTGTTGACGATGGAGGTGGTTTTAGTCGGTAGGAATCCGACATACCCAATGGGACCTATAGAAGGTTTCCACCTCCACTATAAAAAAAAAAAAAAAAAAAAAAAAAAAAAAAAAAGACTATAGACTAGACTATAGACTAGACTATAGACTAGACTATAGACTAGACTATAGACTAGACTATAGACTAGACTATAGACTAGACTATATACTAGACTATAGACTAGACTATAGACTAGACTATAGACTAGACTATAGACTAGACTATAGACTAGACTATAGACTAGACTATAGACTAGACTATAGACTAGACTATAGACTAGACTATAGACTAGACTATAGACTAGACTATAGACTAGACTATAGACTAGACTATAGACTAGACTATAGACTAGACTATAGACTAGACTATAGACTAGACTATAGACTAGACTATAGACTAGACTATAGACTAGACTATAGACTAGACTATAGACTAGACTATAGACTAGACTATAGACTAGACTATAGACTAGACTATAGACTAGACTATAGACTAGACTATAGACTAGACTATAGACTAGACTATAGACTAGACTATAGACTAGACTATAGACTAGGACTATAGACTAGACTATAGACTAGAGTAATTGACTAGACTGAAGACTACACTATTGACTACACTATAGAAAAGACTATTGACTAAACAAGACTATAAATTAGACTAGATACGTTTAGACTATATACTAGACTATAGACTAGACTACATGCTAGACTATAGACTAGACTATAGACTAGACCATAGATTAGACTATAGACTAGACTATAGACTAGACTAGAGACTAGACTATAGGACTAGATTAGATACTAGTCTGCAGACTAGACTATAGAATATACTATAGAATAGACTATTGGTTATGGACTAATGCATTGACTAGATTATTAATCAGGATTAGTTTATGAAAAGTTGTATATGGACAAGTCTATTTACTGATCTTTGGACTAACTTATTTACTAGTCTTGTAAATTACCTAGTTTCTATCAAATCAAAAATGACATTTTGCCCAACATTTCTAAATTTTTATCTAAAAGCAATATCATGTCATAATTATTATTCTCTAGATTTTATTACAAAAAATCCCACATAATATTAAAAACTATTAAACTACAATCTCTTTATCTCGAAGATTATATGTTTATTTTCGACAAAAAAAAATCAAAATAATTTTCCAAACAAACTCATCATTATGGCCACATGTAAGAAAAAAATCATAAAAAATGCACAATTTATTATTACTTTTAAATTGAAAACATAAATACAATTTACAAATGCAACACATACTTAATTTAAGAATAAACACACACAACTGGCACATTGACCCACTAAGAATTTTACTTCAAATGAATACCATGTGATGGTTGACATACTTATAAAATAATTATAAAAATTGTTAGAAAATTTTACAAATAGAATACGACGAAAAAATAGATACAATTATAATTGTAAACTATGAACACATACACACAGTTATTCATGTCAAGCAGGATAATAGTTAAACCTGAAGAAGTACTTTATGGAAAACATCCTTTAAATGCAATTAACGTCTAGCATCTTGTTCTACATTCAAAGGGCGAATCATCATTTTGGCAGCCTTTAGGGAATAGTTAGGACCCAACCAATCTTGCCAATACATGCCGCGGTATTGTTCGATTTTATTAAAATCTTGATCATGATAAGGACCCATTAAATTGCTGGAAGAAAAAATGTTAAATTGTTAATTTTAGTTTTTTACAAAAATGTTTAATTCAACTTACCTTTGATCACACCAATTATACCACCAGGCTCCTTTGTGCGATTGAGCACAATTACAATCGACACAACCATCATTGTCATTGTCGAATGTAGAAAATTTGCTGCCAGCATGATAACTGAATGAATCACCCGCATCTCCTTCATATTTGCCCAAAAGTTTCAATTCATATGATTCTTGTTCATTGCCAATGGCAAATAAATTGTAGCGAGCATATTTGCGATTATTATCAAAATCTTCCAAGGTAATTAACAGCTCATGTACACTAGAAGCAGTCAAAGCATACAATTTTTCGAGACCAATGAAAAATTCACCAGCCAAGTTGCCAAAACCATGTTTATATTCTAACCAGCCACGTTGGAAATTGATATCACCATTAAAACGATTCATTATAACAGTCCAACCTCCGCCCAAGAGTTCATCATCACAGGCCACATAAAAAGGATCAGAGTTGGGTGTCAATTGTAGTTTTAGAATGCCATTGGTGGCTGCTACACCTTGAGCACAACTAGTAGTTAATTGTTGGCCACTACCGGCCGCAGCATAGAAATTGGGTACCAACGGTGTTAGGCCTCCTTGATTTTGTTGTCTTCTGAAGAGGTTGTTAAATCTTCTTTGTAGATTTCTGTATTAAAAAAAATATATATTTATTACTATTTTTATTTTTCTGGTGTAATGTAATAATTATTTGCTAATTATAACAATTGTTTTATATTGTTCGTTTTGTTTACATTTGCTTTTTGTAAACGTCATTTTCGTATTGACATTGAAGTATATTATTGTTTTGATTGTTTTTTTTTGTTCTTCCAAAATGCATAATAATTCGAAACCAGAATTAAATTGATCTATTGCACCGTGTGTGTGAGATTTCGTTTTTTATTACTTGCGGGGAAGGTTTCCTAACAATAAATGTTAATTTGAATTGTACTTACTTGTAGACTAGACTATAGACTAGACTATAGACTAGACTATAGACTAGACTATAGACAACACTATAGACTAGAATATAGACTACACTATAGACTAGAATATAGACTAGACTATAGACTAGACTATAGACTAGACTATAGACTAGACTATAGACTAGAATATACACTAGACTAGGCTATAGACTAGACTATAGACTAGACTATAGACTAGACTATAGACTAGACTATAGACTAGACTATAGACTAGACTATAGACTAGACTATAGACTAGACTATAGACTAGACTATAGACTATAGACTAGACTATAGACTAGACTAGACTATACTATAGACTAGACTATAGACTAGACTATAGACTAGACTATACAATAGACTAGACAAAGACTAGACTAGACTATAGACTATAGACTAGACTATAGACTAGACTAGACTATAGACTAGACTAGACTAGACTAGACTAGACTAGACTAGACTAGACTAGACTAGACTATAGACTAGACTATAGACTAGACTAGACTAGACTATAGACTACACTAGACTATAGACTAGACTAGACTATAGACTATAGACTAGACTAGACTAGACTATAGACTAGACTAGACTATAGACTAGACTAGACTAGACTAGACTAGACTAGACTAGACTAGACTAGACTAGACTAGACTAGACTAGACTAGACTAGACTAGACTAGACTATAGACTAGACTAGACTAGACTAGACTAGACTAGACTAGACTAGACTAGACTAGACTAGACTAGACTAGACTAGACTAGACTAGACTAGACTATAGACTAGACTAGACTATAGACTAGACTATAGACTAGACTATAGACTAGACTATAGACTATAGACTAGACTATAGACTAGGACTATAGACTAGACTATAGACTAGACTATAGACTAGACTATAGACTAGACTATAGACTAGACTATAGACTAGACTATAGACTAGACTATAGACTAGACTATAGACTAGACTATAGACTAGACTATAGACTAGACTATAGACTAGACTATAGACTAGACTATAGACTAGACTATAGACTAGACTATAGACTAGACTATAGACTAGACTATAGACTAGACTATAGACTAGACTATAGACTAGACTATAGACTAGACTATAGACTAGACTATAGACTAGACTATAGACTAGACTATAGACTAGACTATAGACTAGACTATAGACTAGACTATAGACTAGACTATAGACTAGACTATAGACTAGACTATAGACTAGACTATAGACTAGACTATAGACTAGACTATAGACTAGACTATAGACTAGACTATAGACTAGACTATAGACTAGACTATAGACTAGACTATAGACTAGACTATAGACTAGACTATAGACTAGACTATAGACTAGACTATAGACTAGACTATAGACTAGACTATAGACTAGACTATAGAACTAGACTATAGACTAGACTATAGACTAGACTATAGACTAGACTATAGACTAGACTATAGACTAGACTATAGACTAGACTATAGACTAGACTATAGACTAGACTATAGACTAGACTATAGACTAGACTATAGACTAGACTATAGACTAGACTATAGACTAGACTATAGACTAGACTATAGACTAGACTATAGACTAGACTATAGACTAGACTATAGACTAGACTATAGACTAGACTATAGACTAGACTATAGACTAGACTATAGACTAGACTATAGACTAGACTATAGACTAGACTATAGACTAGACTATAGACTAGACTATAGACTAGACTAGACTATAGACTAGACTATAGACTAGACTATAGACTAGACTATAGACTAGACTATAGACTAGACTATAGACTAGACTATAGACTAGACTATAGACTAGACTATAGACTAGACTAGACTATAGACTAGACTATAGACTAGACTATAGACTAGACTATAGACTAGACTATAGACTAGACTATAGACTAGACTATAGACTAGACTATAGACTAGACTATAGACTAGACTATAGACTAGACTATAGACTAGACTATAGACTAGACTATAGACTAGACTATAGACTAGACTATAGACTAGACTATAGACTAGACTATAGACTAGACTATAGACTAGACTATAGACTAGACTATAGACTAGACTATAGACTAGACCATAGACTAGACTATAGACTAGAGTTTAAGTGCTAGTAATCGAACTCACTTTGGCTTCTAATATTATTAGCAAGTAAAGCCTATAATTAATTTTTTCGCTACAAGTTTTGAAGTTTAAACTCACTATTGCCTCTTAGGAATACTTCATGTCTCAAGAGAAATCTACAATTTTGTTTATAAAAAAAATTCAATAAAATGCATTTTAAATTATTCTTTTATAAGAGGTGTTTTAACAAATATGTAAAACCACCTCTTTTATAATTAAAAAAATTAAATCTATCAAACCACTATTAAGCGCAGAATGACAGGCATGTGGACATGTTGTATATAGTAGTTGGTTACAGAATATAAATATTTATTTATAATGGATTTTAAGCTAGTCTTAGCTATGATCTTAACCGCCTTAAAATGCCTTTTCTGCTTAAGAGATAAATAAAATTATAAACAGGGAATTTGAAAAAGAGGCGTGAGTAATGGGCATCAATTGTATAAAACTTAACTAACATAGAATTTCGGATAAGAATGTTATAACATCGGAAGGGTCACAGTTCTATATAGTGTGAAGAGTGTAAATTTTACACTCTAATTTATACAGAGAGTCTGTAAACGTCATCGAATTGTCATTTCATTTCCATCTAAGAAACCTGATTTGAACATTTTCTAAATTTTCTTTAAGATCTAACAAATATCAAATCTTTTGTACATCCTCTATATTTTTACATAATAAATCCAAGTTAAAAACTCAATCTCATACTTACCCAGTTGTTTGCATCAATTTGGTGACATTTGCTTGTAATTGAGCTTGTAAGCCATTTACAGCAACTCTAGTGGATGTCAGCAACGTTGCCAAAGCATCTAATTTTTGTGAATCACTAATCGAAAATACACCCTGTGGCACTTGAGATTGGGTTTGAGGCTGCTGTTGTTGGGGTCTTTGGTCTGTTTGTCTGGCCTTACGTAAAACGTTTAAATCTACTATAGAATTATAACAAAGAAATAAATCTAATTATTATTTAGTTTTTATTACGAGTTTTCTTTAACAACAAATAACAAAAATTGTTATGATTAGTAACTATTAAACTGTTGTTATGAAATATTAATTTTGTTGTTTTTAAAGTTAACTACCACATCCAACACCGTTATTATTTACCATTATCTGTTTTGTCGTTTGAATGATTTCTATTATCGGTTATGATGTGGGTGTGATTTAGTGTTTTCATATATTCTTCGAATTCACCTAATAATTGATCAACGCCATGTCGTGTTAAACGTTGTATATGTTCCGTGACATCCATACGTTTACCAAAGTCAGTCTGTTGTACCGCCAGCGAATCCATGCGAGCCAAGTTACTGGATTCAAATTGTACTATTCTGAAATAAAAAAAATTGTAAATTAAAAAATGGAAATCTTTAATATTATTTTTTTATATAATTAATCATAAGACAAAATGGGCGTAGTAAAAATAGGAGGCGTGGCACCTGCCTAATGAATTCAATACAAAAATTCATATATCTGGAAAACCTTCAGAGCTAAAAATTTCAAATTTTGCACGTGGAACATCAATATGTATATGAACAATTTGGCGGGCTAGATAAAGTGTACGTGGCACCTCCCATATGAATTAAAGACATCCATATATCTGGCAAATTATTGCAGCTAGATATATTGCAGGAAAAACTTTGACAACAATGCAAAACATTTGGGAAATAAATTGGCACTTAGCAATAGTGGTCATGGTACCATTCATATGAATTAAATACAAAAATTCGTGTATCTGGGAAACCTAAGAGACTTATAAGGAACCGGAATATATAATATTTTATACGATCAACTTTCGAGGTATTACAAATGGAATTCCAAACTGAATAAACCCCAAACTATTCTAATTTTGGATATAAAGCAACATTGTTCATACGTTAATTACATATTCCCAAATCAAGTCATAATTTTTTTGAAAAATGATGTATAGGTTACCTTCACTTTTAATAGAAGCACTGAGTTATTCTTAAAGAATCAACGTATTTTTAAAGTCACGCAATCATTTAATAAAGAAGAAAAGTTTTTTCATTTTGATTTTATAAATATAGGAAGTGGGTAAAAATTAAAAAATATATACTTATGTATATAATTAGCTTGATTTCTTAAGTTAATTGAACCAGAAATATTGGTAGTAACATATTTATTAAGGTGGGTCGAAAATACCTTTTTTGCTCGAATCAACTTTTAAGAGTATCGCCGCCAAAGTGTAGAAATCTTCAATATACCCATAAAAATATGTTTAGCGGTTTAGGTGTAATTGACTGAAAATTAAAACTTATGCCATCTGTCGGACAAATTAAAAACTTTAAAGGGACACTTCTCACGATCCCTGAAACATATATTTTAAATTTTGTCCTATCATGTACCGTAGTTCCTGAATTTATCGATTTCGAACAACTATTCCCCTTTTATTTATATTGATTTCGCTAACAAATTCTTTAGATTTAAACCTACCATGAAAAGCCTTTTTCCGATCCATCCAATGCCTTTCAGATTAACAAAATACTAATTTTTAAAAACAAAATATTTTTGTACAACTTTAAACCATGAGCGGTATGGTCAATTATAAAATTCGGTAGATAGATTTTGGCTTATAGGAAACTTACTTCTATGTGCGTTAAAGTCATTTTCTGCAGGAGGTCTCTTATGTCGAATTTCAGCGCTATACTCGTATTTCAAGCCATTACGCCAGTAATGGGCGTTAATTTGGTAGAGAGAATTGAACTCATATAAAACTTATTTATATTTTTATTGAGCTTTAAAGTAATTTTCCGAGGGGGACCTTATATGGTTATTAGGGCAAATTATGGACCGATCCTCATAAAATTCGGGTTCATATAAAGCTTATTTATGTCGCATATCATTGCTATACCTGCATTTTTAAAACAGTTATGACTATTATAGTTGCTTTTCGGGGACCACTTGTATGGGGGCAATGTGAAAACGTGGGCCGATATTGTCTATTTTCAATACTAAACAAACCTTAGCTATAAGAAATATTTGTGGAAAATTTCACCTCTCTTGCTCTTTACGTTCGGACTCTATCGTGTTTCAACAGACAGACAGACGGACGGACAGATGGACAGACATAGCAAGATTGTCTCATAATTTAATAAGGACCCAGAATATATACACTTTTGTAGGTGTATGATTAATATTACGATGAGTTACAAACGGAATAACAAAATCAATATACCCCCCATCTTTTTTGATGGTGGGTATAAAAATTAAAGCAATACTTGCAACATATTACGCTTTTTATAAGTTTCACCTTCGTGAGAAGGGTATATATAAGTTTATCATTCCATTTGTAATTTCTATAATATAATTTTTCGACCCTAGGTAAGCCAGAACGTATAAAAGGGGACTTTTGGTACTCTTTTGGTCTCCAAAAGGTACTTTTTAAATTCTCTAAAATAATAAACCTAGAAACATAAGATTTAGCATATAGAGTCCGAAGTAAATGAGAACCTATAAAAAGGGACTTTTAGGTACATTTTCCTTCTTCAAAAGGTACTTTTTTGAACGTTTTATAATATTGAACCTAGAAACATAAAACAAAATGTTCCGTTCTTAAACTAGTACTTTTTGGGTTTTACGCAATATTAAACCTAGAAACATATAATCAGACATATGTACATGTATATCTGATGGAAGGAAAATCTAAGAGAGTATAAGGTATTTTTTTTAATATTAAACCTAGAAACACGTAGCGTCCTGATTGAATGAAAATCTATATATCATTTGAAGATGAAAAAAGTACTAATAAGTAATAGTACAGATTTTTACGAATTTGGTTAATTAAATAGTGTTATTTAAATAAAATAGGTATCATTTAATGATGAAAAAAGTACCAAAAGTTTCATCATTTAATCGGCAATAAGTATGTTAAAATTCTTGTAAATTCTGCTTTTGTAAAAAGTACAAAAATTACGTTTTAAAAAAAAGTACCAAATTATTCACCTGAATTTGGTTATAAATGGGGCTTGAAATCCAAGTTGCAAATGTCAAAGTATCACGATTCTAGGTTCAAGCTGTGCAATGATCAATCAGTCAGTAACGCGACTCTTCACAGAGGGAAAAAATATACACGCCTTCTAACAAATTGACACCAAACTTTTCAAACTCCGTTGTCAATAGTGAGCTTACCACGTTTGTTAACTTTTAGACAACGAATGTGCATAAAATTTAGATTGCGACAACGAATTGTTTAAATGTTGACAACGTTGCGTGATCAACATTACATGTTGTTGTTGTATGTATATGTATATACTTGACAACGGATGTTATTGAAAAATTTGTTCTCAATTTGGTACCAGGCGTGTATATTTTTTCCCTATGTGTTTTATATAGATATGTATATAGATTGTATATTAAAAAATCATTCTAGAATAGGGTAAAAAGTTAACGGCTACTATTTCACTTGATAAATTTTAGTAGTGTATACTAATAAGTAAGTGTCTTCTTTCAAAGTTGTTTTTTTTTTATTTTCACCAACAAAGTAATTACTTGTTCCAATTCGATGAATAAACCGTATTATAATTAGTTTAACTTAAGATAAGACTAAGCAATTAAAAATAAAAAATTTTTGTAAAACAAAGTATAAGTATACGAGGGTCTGCAGCTAGCAGTAACATTTTTTTAAATATTTTAAATTTATTTAAACAAAAAATTCTAATAAATCTTCCTAAATCCTTGTAGGGAATTTAACGTCATATACACATTGTACAAGTATTCAAATTCTAATTAATATAATTTTGTTTCCACAAAAAAAAATATTCAATCTCATTAATATTTTAAACACTTTTCATGCAGGTATTTTTAATGTATTGTATTTTTTCATTAACCATCAATCATCAGTTCAATTGCTAAAAGTTTGTGTGTCATTAAGTCAGTCTGTCAATAAAATATTGAACAGAAAATAGAAAACAACACACAAACAAAATGTTCTTCTCTTACTTTTGCGGTTCCATTTATTTACTTAATTTTAATTAAATACTCGTACATTACTACAACAATTATTTAAAACACAAAATTTTTTTCCAACAACTAATTAGCATGTAATATACAGCATATGAACGCATTAGTTTGGCTCATAGCAGCACGTTGGTTAATGAGCTACAGATACAGCGAAACAAACAGCAAACGAAATATAGGTACTAAAAAGTACTTGTGTAAATAGTACTAGTAGTACTATTAGTATTTTTGTATACTTTTGTTTATATAGTAAAGTAGTAGCCATTTATTGGCTGTATTTGTTTGCAAACAAAATTTGTATTCAAAAATTTTGTTCCCATCAAGGTCGTTTAATATTTATGTATGTTTTTGTTGTTGTATTTTTATTCTTGTTTAATAAAAATCTATTATAATTAAATTTGTTAATAAGAAAAAATAACAATAAAAGTATTTTGCCAAAAGATGTATATATATGTATGTATATATTTGAAATTTTAACCAAATTGTTAGAGAAAATATTTATGGATTGTATGTTTTTTTTTTTACGTACCGATGTGATACAGCAACAGCATCATCTACAACATTCACCCAATAATCATCATCGTCATGATTATTGCTGTTAACATTAAATTTTTTTTAAAGAAATCAAGTTTTTTTCGGTTTGTTTCCTTTAGCCAAAAGATCAAAAGTAAATGAAATACATACATATGTATGTAGTATTTCTTTATAAGAAGACACAATGACGTTAGCAAAAATACCCTACACCACGCGAACAATAATGTTAAGCAAATGATTTTGTACGTTTTTGATTTTGAATCAAATTTTTTCTGCAAATTTATATCAATATGATACCCTATACCAGTGAGTATGTTAAAAATCCTTAATTGCTTAATTCCGAAATATTTTAACAATTTTTAGAGAGATAATAGTATATTTGACGTAATTATGGCATAAAAAGCCCAAATCGGGAGGTACGGTTGTATGGGGGCTAGGTGAAATAATGGACCGATTTCAACAATTTTCAATAGGCTTCGTCCCTGTGCCAAAAAACATGTTTGGTCCAAATTTCATCAAATTATCTTGAAAATTGCGGCCTATACCTTGCGCACAAGGTTTACATGGACAGCCAGCCAGCCAGCCGGACAGACGGACGGACATGTCTTAATCGACTCAAAAAGTGATTCTGAATCGATCGGTATACTTTAAGGTGGGTGTAGGACCAATATTTTTGTGTATTACAAACATCAGCACAAACGTATAATACCCTCCCCACTATAGTGGTGTAGGGTATAAAAAGTGATTTTCTGAAAGAGGGGTTATACAGGGGCAAAGGTAAATATGGTCCTACTCGTATAAATTTTGGTATAGCGATTTA